GTTTAACTCGATCAAATAAACAGAAGCACTAAATTGTTGGTTGTACGACATGCAATAACAACCTAAAGTCTGCACAGGCGCAAAAGCTGATAACTGTTCTCGCCGCTACAACGACCAACAATGATTATATCGAGTCACAAAATTTGCGAATCTGATTGGATGATTAGGCGTTTGGTTATCGAATGCAAATTTATTAAAATGAAAAGCTCTGGAAGGGCACATACAATATTTATTTAAATTACCACGCGCACTGCAATGAATAGTTGAAGGAGCTGGTGTTTGTTAGTTGGTTGTTTCTCTTTACACATATTTAACACAGTCTATTTTGCACATAAATACAGCGTGACCATATGCGGGTTATGCATGACTTCTTGCAATGCTTTATCTAGTATATGCATACATATACTCAGGTCAAAAACAAACTATCGCGTGTATTCAAGTAAACTCATTTAATCAATTAAATTACAAATTGTACGCCAGCTGAGCTTAACATATGTGCATACATTGACAATGCGACGTTTTACCAAAAGATGCTTAATAATTGAGTATACTAGATTGTCATTTTATATCAACATCTATTGCTAAATTTGCCTTCAACAATTACAGGATTGCAATGTTTTTTACAATTATTTAAATTTGCTTTAAGTTTTTTTTTTTTTTTTGGAATTTCATATCATTTAAATTTTAAATTTTACCACCAACCAAACAATACAATCATGGAATATATAACACGACACAAAAGTAAGTAAACCATATACGTACTGGCAAGTACAAACAACAGTCAGTTTGTGTTTGGTCATGGGCACCAAAATAAAGAATTGAATTCATTGTTAAAATTGTTATTACTAAGTCAAATTCAACCATATTAAGGACATGTCATTACCATATCGTCGAGTTGAACTTTTCATCATTTTCAAATACCATTGATATTAACATTCTTCAGAGATATCTTCGATACATTGTAAGAACTATTTGAATGATACTTTTGCTTAAAACAAGAAGGGATGTTATATCCTGGCCTTATTATGTATACAGCGCCCTCAATAGGCTAGTCTACAAATATACCCATGATGCATTGTTCTTCTCATCATGGCTGCCTACATGAAATAAATACTGTCCAGGTTAGTTAATCACAATCAAGCCATCCTGTCTTCTATATAATATTGGTGAATATATAACATGGTGGCAGCGGTAAACTGATATGTTAAGACTCTCAACAATATATTATTAACGATTTTGAAGTCAAACAACTGTCAATTTGGAAGCCATAAAGATG